AGGAAAGTCCCTATCTATCACTTAACTTGTCTGTAATGTTAGGAATTTGTAATGATACAGTGAACCAATGTATACGGTCACGTCACTGGCATTCAAAGGCACCATTCAACAGCTTAACATATGAAAAGATAAACATCCTGCCCTACCACTCTGCTCAGTTTCCTGTATGGATGTAATATGTTTGTATAAATTCCTGCGGTTACGTTGTTTTCCGGGGTGAACAGAAATTTGTGGAGTAACTGTATTCTTTCTTTAATGAGGCCCATGTATTTGATAGATTTAATGACATGTTTCATTTACATGAGCACAAATAATTTTTCTTCCAATCATTTTCCAAGTTGTTGATGCTAACCATATCTTTTTTTTTTTCCCCCCTTTCTTGCTATAGCGTGAATGTATTTCCATGCACGTCGGCCAAGCCGGAGCCCAGATGGGCAATGCATGCTGGGAGCTGTATTGCCTGGAGCATGGGATCCAGCCAGATGGTCAGATGCCAAGTGATAAAACCATTGGAGGTGGAGATGACTCCTTCAACACCTTCTTCAGTGAGACTGGAGCTGGAAAATTCATAAACATACAAACTGCTAAAACACATGAAGACAAAAAAAAACTACAAATTTTAGAGAATGAAAACCATAAGTCTGATTAATATAATAATATTAACCTCTCCTCAACAAGATGCATGACATTCATGCCCGTACCACATACCAGTTTACATGCCATATTTTAAATATACAAATATAACCACAATGCTTTAAAAATGTCTGTAATTTTAAGAAAATAAAGTCCACATTACAACTATAAGAGCGATTTTTCCAGTTAAGGGACAACACTGAAAGCCAATCAAGATGGACTTTTAAGCATTTAGATAAGACACAACATTATTGTCTGTTGGTATGAATGCTCATATAGTTGTCATTACAGTTTTCATTTTTGGTGTGAACAGGCCTTTAAAGAGTTCGATCAAATCCCTAACCTTGAGTATGAGCAATAGTGATTGTGCCACAGTGTGTCAAAGGTTCAACGTTGTTGGAACAAAGATTAAGTTCACATTCCTAAGTTTTTAGATTGTTCTTCCATTGGTGATACAAACCCCACCAAAGATGTGATCCACCAGTGCAGGGTTGAATATTAATGGCTGTGGGTGAATGGACGAATGTTGACCTGTTAGAGTGTGCCTTTTTCAGGAAACAAGAAGCACTGGGATGTGACTAGGCCTGTTTGTTCAGTGCACTGCGGTCATCTATGATTGACATTCACATAATTGTACTTATCCCTTTAAGTTGCCAACAACAAACCATGTTACCATGGCATCAGCTTGCTCTTTATATAGTGATGATATCGTCACAGAGAACATACACAACACTTCTCAACTGAACTCTTTACGTTGTCGGCCAGAGGAAAGTTCTACAATGGTAGGATGTTTTAAATTATTTATTTGTCTGATGCATTATTTATAATACTTAACAATTACTTGACTTTTAACGAACAGTCTTAGTCTTCATGAATACGTTTGTCAATAATTAGTTTGTTTTATTTTATAGATTTTGATTGTCTTGATAATGGTTGTCAGTTTTAGTGTTTATGAAAATTAAAAGCGAAAGCTACTTTTTCCCAAGAGAAATTTAAATTGACTGCTACCATTTTAAATATGTCTCTCATTGCACCCTAGCGTGAGTGCATCTCAGTCCATGTCGGCCAGGCAGGTGTGCAGATGGGCAATGCATGCTGGGAGCTGTATTGCCTGGAGCATGGGATCCAGCCAGATGGTCAGATGCCAAGTGATAAAACCATTGGAGGTGGAGATGACTCCTTCAACACCTTCTTCAGTGAGACTGGAGCTGGAAAACATGTTCCAAGAGCAGTCTTTGTCGATCTGGAGCCCACTGTCATTGGTAATAATTTATGCATTTTGGTTTTGTCCCCAGCTGTTAAATTGAACTTTGGAGCAACTTTAGGTGTTTTAGCTTGTAGTTAAAAGAAGTTCATCCTTTTTTTCAGATGAGGTGCGCACAGGTACCTACCGCCAGCTTTTCCACCCTGAGCAGTTGATCACTGGTAAGGAAGATGCTGCCAACAACTACGCCCGTGGTCACTACACCATTGGCAAGGAGATCATTGACCTGGTGCTGGACAGGACTCGCAAACTGGTAAGATGCACATACTGCCACCATCTTACCTATACACTGAATATTAGTTGGGAAGATCACAGAACATACAAGTTCACCTTTAAAAAATGCTAGTCACTAGGCAATCAAATAAGTTAATTTAGTTATAATTACTATAATGTTATTATATATCTCCCATCTTAATGTTCACTAATTGTTTGCTGTTATTATAATTGATATATTTCCCATCTAAACATTCACTATTTTGTTTGCAGGCTGATCAGTGCACTGGGCTCCAGGGCTTCCTGATCTTCCACAGTTTTGGTGGTGGCACCGGCTCTGGGTTTACCTCTCTCCTAATGGAACGGCTCTCTGTTGACTATGGAAAGAAGTCTAAACTTGAGTTTGCGGTCTATCCAGCTCCTCAAGTGTCCACTGCAGTGGTGGAGCCCTACAACTCCATTCTTACCACCCACACCACTCTCGAGCACTCCGACTGTGCCTTCATGGTAGACAATGAGGCCATCTACGATATCTGCCGTAGAAACCTCGACATCGAGCGTCCCACCTACACAAACCTCAACAGGCTGATCGGGCAGATCGTTTCCTCCATCACTGCATCCCTGCGTTTCGATGGAGCCCTGAATGTAGATCTGACCGAGTTCCAAACCAACTTGGTCCCCTATCCACGTATCCACTTCCCACTGGCCACCTACGCCCCAGTGATCTCTGCAGAGAAAGCCTACCATGAGCAGCTGTCTGTTGCTGACATCACTAATGCTTGCTTCGAGCCAGCCAATCAGATGGTGAAATGTGACCCTCGTCACGGCAAGTACATGGCTTGTTGTCTGCTGTACCGTGGAGATGTCGTTCCCAAAGACGTCAACTCTGCCATCGCCACCATCAAGACCAAGCGTAGCATCCAGTTTGTGGACTGGTGTCCCACTGGATTCAAGGTTGGCATCAACTACCAGCCACCGACCGTGGTTCCTGGAGGAGACCTGGCTAAGGTGCAGCGAGCTGTATGTATGCTGAGCAACACCACAGCTATTGCTGAAGCCTGGGCTCGTTTGGATCACAAATTCGATCTGATGTACGCCAAGAGAGCTTTTGTTCATTGGTATGTGGGTGAAGGTATGGAGGAGGGTGAGTTCTCAGAGGCCAGAGAAGACATGGCTGCCCTGGAGAAGGATTATGAAGAGGTGGGAACAGACAGTGTCGGAGAAGAGGATGAAGAAGGAGAGGAGTATTAAGTTGAGGGGCTTGCTGATCCTTGCACAACCAAGCAAGGCAACTCATGCCTGACCTAAAATATGGTAAATGTTCTGTTATAAACACATTCCATGAAATAAAAATGTTCAAATGTTGAAATAAAAATGCAAAAATCTGCTGCCATTGTCTTTTTTTTTTAATTTTTTTTTTCAGATTTAC